AGCATTGCATAATAATATGAGATAAGGTCATTATTGGCCTTATCTAGCATTGCATAATAATATGAGAAAAGGTCATTATTGGCCTTACCTGGCATTGCATAATAATATGAGGTTCTGTACAGCTGTTAGTGTAGACTGATCATTCTGCCCAGTAATAAGGTGTCTATCCACCACTACATGTACACCTTCAGGTTCAGTTGCTAAAACAAGACATAGAATATCTCAAAGCGATGACAGATATTCATTACACAGTAGAACTCAATGTAATAACATTCAGATACCAACCTGTGTAGTTAGCCCCAGAATCTTTTATAAAGTCTTCCAATATTATTGGCATTGTAGCTAGCTCTGAACCCTTGGCAAGTTCATAAACAGATGGCTGTAGACAAATCATAAAAGACAGGTTTTTTTCATCACTGTTCATGACATGTTTCTATCACTGCCTACTCTGGGATATCTCTGAACATATATCTAGACAAACATATGACATGTTTTTATCACTGCCTACTCTGGGATATCTTTGGGCATATATCTAGACAAACATATGACATGTTTTTATTACTGCCTACTCTGGGATATCTTTGAACATATATCTAGACAAACATATGACATGTTTCTATCACTGCCTACTCTGGGATAACTTTGAACATATATCTAGACAAACATATGACATGTTTCTATCACTGCCTACTCTGGGATATCTTTGGGCATGTGCATTGTAAGTGGTTGTATATGATTTGGCACAATAGCAAAGTTATTGACCAGTCAGGCTAATTTTTACAAATATTACAGTTTCAAATATAGAAAGAGCAATCTTTGTGAACAGGTTGCTCATTTCATTTATTCAGATATGTTTCATGGGGTTGACCATCTCTACCTGTGACCAGTGGATGAGCACACATTTTGTTAGTAACCATTGTGTGTGATACAAATTTAGTGGGGGTAGTTAGTTCTGGGATGACTTTAGATTCACTGGATGCAACAAACTCTGTCATCCAGGGATACATACATGTACCATCATCCCTGGCAATTGAAAGGCAACATTGATATTCAGGTATAATTTTGGCCAATGAGTGAGCACCAGTGATATAATCTTGTCCAATCAGTGAGCATCAATGGCATCATTTCAGCCAATGAGTGAGCACCAATGATATCATCTTGGCCAATGAGTGTGCATCAATGGTATCATTTCGGTCAATAAGTGAGCACCAATGATACCATCTTGTCCAATAATATTTCCCCAGTGGTATCATCTTGGCCAATGAGAGAGCACCAATGGTATCATTTTGGTCAATGAGTGAGACCCAATGGTATTATCTTAGCCAATGAGTAGGCACCAATGGTATCATCTTGGCCAATGAGTGAGCACCAATGGTATCATCTTGTCCAATAATATTTCCCCAATGGTATCATCTTGGCCAATGAGCGAGCACCAATGGTATCATTTCAGCCAATGAGTGAGT